TATCAGTAAACATTACAATGCTTTCATACATAAAATTATTTTTTATTAAGTCTTAAGGTTTGTACAATTTTCTTTTTTTAATCATTTTGTTCATTTCACATGTTGCCTATCTATTATGCAAAGTAATATTCATTTTAAGATTAAAAATACTTTTATGCATTAGAAAAGTTTGAAATTTCACATGCAAAATCTTTATAATATCCAGATAGTTATCAAAAATTTCTTAAGAAAAAACTTTATATTTTATCTCACAACCACCATATGAAATTAGGAAATAAATATAAATTATGCCCATTACATTCTAGAATGAACACAATTATAACACGAAAACATAAATGCTTAGACTAAATAGTTTAAATCTCATAACATTATACATATATATATATATTTATTTATTATTTTCATTATATTGACTGTTCAGCCATGCCTGGCTAACAATACAGAAGTTACAATGACGCAGCTCACGTGCACTCATGTTACCATATCAAATAATATAAAACTGACCTTGGTCTATACAAAGTAACCTGTCTTGGCTGTGTTTTAATAGACTAGTATTTTGTAAAATACAGTCACATTTCAATTACTATACATTACATATGTATATTGATTATTGCCATTTTGAAATAAGTTTAAGAACTCATTTTTCTTAAAACACAGAAGAGTAACTAAAGAAGTAAAGCAAACAATTATCTTTTCTAGTTACGACCTTTGTACTCATTGCTGTTTGACGTAGGTTGCTAAGCCTTTATAAAAGTTGCACTTGGAGGATATGAAACTAAATAATTTTTTTTATGTTTTAATTATATACAGTTGAATAACCAAAAAATCATAAATCACTACATTAATACCATAAAATCCATTATAATTCATCATACTTAGTAACTAAGATGTATTTCAGTGAAAAAAATATATTAAATTTTGAGCAGCCTAAAGACACACCCTACCTCATTGAAATATTGGTTCAGAAGAAAAAATGGTGCTAAGTCCGTTAAAATGGCTGAGAAAGCCACTAGGGGACATTCTGAGCTTCTAATTGGTTATTCATGTCATATATAGAAGCAAGTGTACATAAGGGAGCATTTCCAAAAATTGAAAGAGGTGGGCAGGGTGCCACTGTGTTTGAAGCAATATCTCGGCAAATTGAAGAGATAAAAGGCTGTTATTTTATATTCTAGCTTGTCAATGTCGGTAATTTGAGTTTCTAATTTGTACAAAACTATAGACTTAGTATTTTGGCTTCACAAACATGTAATTTGAACCTGTGCTGCATTTAATATACCACGTGATACACAGAAATCAATGTTTATCTGTTTTTTTAATATTTACTTTTAAATTAAGAAATTGATTAATGTATAGTACTAAAATTTGAATTATAATATACAGTTTGATAAAAAAGTTATTGACATAAATTTGTGAAATAGTACTTCAATAAAATTTTGAATGCAAGTCAACAAACGAGATGACATGGCCTTTCACCCATGACCCATTTCAAAAGGGTTAAGGGAGAGATGATACATGGTACATGAGGCTAAAGGTTCAAATGGTTGTTAAGACAAGGCATATAGTGCCACCTTAATATCTTGATTAAGTAATGGAAAAGGCCATTTGAGAAAGGGACTGTATAGCACTGGGGAGTCCAAAAACTCCAGATGTTTAGGATAACTAAAAAGAAATGAAAAAGTTGTCTCCTGTCGTTTAGGTCAGACGAAGCTAAACCCAAGTAAAAAACAGGTCAAAACACGATATGGTGAACATGTTTGACAAAATGGATACAAACTCCTTGCGAGGCACATCCCAGGCAACTGTAGATGTTAAACCCCAATGAGTTGGGAAAAAAGTCTTGGTGTACAATTTTGGGTTGAGAATGCCTGAATAAAGATAGCCAAAGAAGAAGATACAGAGGTGTACCCACATGAAGAAATTGTAGAAGAGGAAATCATGGCTAGGCTGGCCAATTTAGGCTAGCAACGTCTTGGAAGTAGCAGACTGAAATATAGCCAGAACTCTGAGTAACAGAGGAAGTGAGGGAAAGTCATAGATATGCAATCCCATCCAAGCAGGACTAATTGCATCTACCACCCAAGCCTGAGGATGAACTAGTAGAGACTCCAAAGCTTGTAGTTGAGTATCAATGAATGGCAAAAGCTATCAATGGAAGCCCAAAGAGAGAACAAATCTATCGGAAAACTGCACAATGGAGAATCCATTTGTTCAGAAGAAAGTGAGGACTGAGACTGACAATCTGCTATGAAATCCATCATCCCAGGAAAATGGAAAGCCAGGAGGCTGACATGATTAGAAAAGGCCCAAAGAAAGAACCAAATTTAATTAAGAGACCACTAGAATTGAAAAAACGTCTCATGAGGATATTCACCTGCAAAAGATCTAGACCTTGCACTATTGCCTGTTGGACAGCAAAAAGTTCAAAATTAGTGATGCACATACATATTTACATACACACAGATATAGAGATACATTAATACACACATGCCCACCACACACACACATACATATAAACATGTATATACATGTATAAATACACACACACATGCTAATGATAGAGGTGATCCAAACCAACCACTACTCAAAAACTAAGATGTTGCTCCTGATGAAAGAGATTGAAAAATCCAGTGGATTGAAGTTCCTGAACCATTAGTTACAATGGGACGACTGAAGGGATAGCATGTATTCTCATCCCAAAACATTCAAGAGATTTGATGGAAGTCCACAACCCCAGAAATAGAAGCATCCCTGTAAGTAAGAGCCTGACTGCCCATTCCATAGCTTGGAGCTGGATAGGAGGTGGCTGAGCCAGGCATAAAACAAGGTGAAAACTTGTACAACTTAGCAGAAGACATATAGTGCTGATGCTAGATCAAAGGCTATATCTCTGAACTGCAGAACCTGATCCCTGTATATAAAAAGTAGTTAAAGGCAAGATGAATTTACTATGAAAATGTGGAGAAATGCCTCAGCAACATCAACTTGGGCATGCATGGACCTGGTGAAGAATGCCAATGTAGGGTGAGAAAGAACTCCATTGTGGAGCAGGGAGAAACAAAGAATTGGTTGAGATGAGAAAGAACGGTGATCGTCAGCGATTCTCCCCTTGTCTCAGGCAAGATAGGTAAACAGGAAAAAAATCCCTGAAGAACAGGATCAACTGTCACTACCATCCCCGTGATCAGTAACTCTGATAGCCATGAAACGAAAATCCACATCCCACTATTCATGTGGAGATGGAAATACCACAGAGTGAGAGGATAATAGAGGTGGACAATTGAATGGAAAGATCAACCTCAATATCAGAACCCAAAGTGCTCATGGTTCTGCAGTAAAGGAAAACCAGATGTTCATAAATAGTTGTACCCTCACTCTAACTGATATCAACACAAATGGCTTCGGTTGGCCCAAATGGATGGCCCTGAAACTAAGGTCATAAAAATTATGGTCTGTTTTAGCAATAACAATTTTATAGAGAGCATTTTACGTTTAATTTCGTACATTTTTGAGGGGTGATGAATAAAATAGGAATGATGACATGCTAAGAAAAAATTTGTCATGTGTGTGTGTTACACTAGTGGAAACTCAGGATTTTTTTATATATTTTTTCCTTGTAGAATTAAGAACTTAAAACTTGTATACTATTAAAATATGGTTTATTAGCTAAGATTTTATGCTATTCTAATTGGTATAACATAAACAAAAAGTAGTTTAATAAAATTTTGAATGTAAGACACTAAAACCTTGTGTCATGAACAGTAAAAAGTACCCATGCCGACAGGGTTAATAGGATGCCAACAATTTGCAGGGGAACAAATATCACAGATCAAGAGTGAGGAGCAAACAAATACAAAAAAAATGTGATTGGTTCAAAGTAATCACATGAACTAACCTGGAATCCCACACATCCAAAATTAAATAATGTAAGGCTGTGGAATTGAAAAAATATGTCCCCCTGGAGATGAAAAGCCAAAGCATTCAAAGAGACAAACGAGGGTACAAGAAATATCTATCCCGTCATGTAATAAAGCAGGTAAATCTCTCAGCATGAACCAGGAATATCAAGTGAAGAAGAAAAAACTAAATAGTACCCCCCCCCCCCCCGACTGTTCCATCATCAAGGGAGTAGTAGACTCACTCAAAGGTCACAGAGAAAAGCCCCAAATCTCATAACACAAATGACTAATTGAAGAAAAGAAGTAGGAGTTGGTTGATCCACATTGCAATCATGAGAAACTGATGTACTAAAGAAAAGCATCAGAAAAACTGAGTCCAAATTCTTCCCAGAATAAACAGGATCAACAAAAAAGGCAACTTCAGAGGCCCCAAGAGAAAAATAACTCCAGGCCAAATTTATGTTTCCATCTTCCAACGGATCAAAACATAGACAGCCTCAACAGAGTGACCCCCCCCCCCCCTGAATATAGAGAGATGCAAGATAACAAAGGACAATAGTGCTGACAATTGTAATATGGGAATTCATACCTGCAAACATCATGTCCATTTTTTTAAATACAAAAAACAAATTTTGAAGCAAATTATAATTATACTGAAATCCACAATGAGACATGAAAATCACAATCCATAACAAAATGAACCACAGCACTTCATCAGACAAAAACGTGACCAATGCTTTGTTGAGAAAAAGTGATTACATTATCTGAGTGAGGTGCTTATATATGGTGTCTGCATAAAGGTTGCATTAAAGCAGGTGGAGGAATCTGCAAATTAGATATTGCCAAATGCATTTAAGTGGGGTATAAAAGACTGGAGCATGGGAGACCAATGTTTAGATAGGGAAGCCAATGTCGAGGAAAAGCTAAAGTGTTAGCGGAGGGTAAGTATGTTTCGGAACAAAGTATTATTAGTTTCTTAGAGCAGATAAGTTAAATGTGAAGTATCTACCAAAAAACTAAATTATGTGATATAAATACAAAAAAGAAATGAGAATATTATCAAAATCTGCTTCATTTGGAAAGTAAATGAAATATAGTTACTGTGGTGGTTCTCCTTCAGGGCTCTGGTTAATAGACTGGAAACAAGTAACTTGAATACGTCCCTGCTATAGTAGACAAAAGAAAAAACAAACATGAAAAAATTTATAGGGTTAGATAAACTCTTGCTACTATACTTTTTAAAAACAGTAAAAATAATAAAAAGATACCATACAAAATCACAAGTTTTTTCTTCATTCAAGAAAACTTTGACTGCACAAGCATTCTAAATACAACTTTGTTTTCTTAAGTCATAATCTTAATAATATATATATATATATATATATATATATACAACTATTTAATAGTAAATAAATTAATTAGACTTTAAATAGGTAGTTTAGTTGTATCTTAATTTTTTAGTTGGTAATTATTACTGACTAAGTTAAATTT